AGGTGCTGGCCTACTCCTGCGTCTACAGCTACTACAACCAGGAGACGGAGAAGATGGACGTGATGGAGCAGCAGACGGAGGCCCTGGACCTGCACACCAACGCCCTGCAGATCCTGCTGGGTGAGAGCGGCGTCCTCGTTGCCGTCGGCAGAGTTCCAGCGCTGTGAGCTACCCCTGCTGACTGCTGCTGTTGTCTTGTTGTTCTCAGAGGAGACCCTGCTGCAGTGCACTGACCTGGCCTCCTGCGTCCGGCTGCTGAAACCGGAACATCTCAACACCGGGCTGGAACTGATCCGACGCATCCAGGAGCGCCTGCTGGCCATCCTGCAGCACTCGACCCAGGTAAGCCCAGTCTGAAGACGGACCTGTAGCGACCGCACGGGTTTCTGGTGAAGTTTGTTTACAGGACAGCAAAACGGGTCACGTCATGCGTTACATCTGCTGAATTTACAGGGGGTCAATAATAACCATTTTGTAGCGAACAGCATTTCACGTTTATATAGTTTCCCCTAAGTCACGCACAGACAGGTGAACTGTTTCCTCTTCTTTAGAAAGTATGAAACTGTCCCGTGTTGTCTGATCTCGCGCACTCGGCAGCAACACGTTCTCCAGCTGGGAACGTCGCCTTGAGCGATTTATGATGAGTCAGGCCGCCGCCGTTCTGCATCATAATTATGCGCTACTCTCAGCGCCATTATCAACCAATCGAACGGACGGAGGGAAACCGTGTAGAAAACGTTACAGCTCATACCGTGAAGCTAGCTCGCTACCTAGCTTACCGAGACGAGTCTCGATCGTCCACAGAGACACGACGTTGCGCCGGTGTTTCCAGGAGAGCTCAGCTCACGACCTTGTTGGCTGAGTGAAGAGTGAAACGCTGCCACCCTCTGGCGGTGAAGGTGTTACTGCAGCGCTGATGTTCTTTTACTAACTTTACTGTTCACATCACTTTCGCTCCTTACGGCCCGATGACGTCATTATTAAATTCGTTGGCAACTAATTTAATAATCGACGTCGTGGTCCAGAATCCAGCGGTCTGAGTCCAGTTCTCTTTCAGTCTGATGTTTAAACCAGTCAGATCAGTTTGAGCCGCCTGAAACTTCAGTCTCGCTACGTTTCCTGCCAGCGTCTCACTTTGACTCAGGACGTCCCGTCCGTGACAGTTTCCTGTATTTCTGTCCAATACAGGACTTCAGGGTCGGGTATCAGTCCAAGAACGGCCAGGAACCAGAATCTACTGAGGCCTCCAACCTGTCCAACCACACCGACGCCAACAAAGTGTGAGTACGACACCAAAGAACCGAGCTACCTTCAGGGACGTGGGCTCCTGGTCCCGGCCCGACAGGTTTGCGGTCCTCGGAGACTTTGGGATCTCGGCTACAGTTTAAAATAAAGTCCGTTCTGGACTCTGGTTAGAGTTTAAAAAGACAGAAGGGCAGAAGATGAATGTTTCTTCTTGGTGAATCACTTCAGATCTTTTTTGTTCAGCCAGTTGTTTATTTATTCATTTCCGATGTTTGTCTGTGGCGGAGGGGCGAAAACTGAACGTTCTGCTTTGTTCTCAGGTCGAAGTCGGAGCGAGCGTCGGACTCCGGTGAGTCGGACAACAACAACAACACGGGGGAGGAGGGCGGCGAGGAGGCGGAGGAGGAGGACGACGAGTATGATGAAGAGTACGTCCCCGAGTGGCACGAGGACTACGACGAGGACGACATCGACGAGGACGACTTCTTCTCCGACGACGACGAGTCCGAGAACCTGGAGAGGGACTTCAGCCCCTTCGACTGAACCCGACGGAAAAACAAAAAGCTCCCAGAGAGAGGACGAGTCGGGCCCCGCCCCCTCCTCACGACCATCCGACGCCAACAGAGAACGTCAGGACGGACGGGAGACGATCAGAGGGACGTCCTCCTTCACCTGAACCCCTCCCCCCATGCACAGCTGCACTCGCTTTTCCACTTCCTGTATTTTACCTTCTGTGTTTTCATAAAGTACGGAAAGAGATGAGGGACAAAAAAAAAAGAGTTCTGTGTTTAATATTTCAGTTCTTAGAGCAAAATGAGGCTCCAGAGACGACAATCTTAGTTTAGCCTTTAAATTAGGAGAATTAATCAGTAACAAGTTTTCTGTTACAGCTGGAATCTGGTCTGAAACCAGTTTAAAAAAGAAGTTCAAATCTGGTTTCAAACCTGTGTAAAATTAGACCAGTTTGAAACTGGTGTAAAATTAGACCAGTTTGAAACTGGTGTAAAATTAGACCAGTTTGAAACTGGTGTAAAATCAGTTCAAGCGCAGGCTGAAACCAGTTTGAAACGAGTTCACTTCTGCTTTGAAAACTTCCTAAATTAAACCAGTTTGAAACTAGTCTGAAACCAGTTTGAAACGAGTTCAGGTGTTTCTTGAAACCCGTTTAAAATCTGATTTCAGTAAAGTCTGAAATCCAGTTTGAAACCTTTTTAGTTTCAGAACGTCGCCTTTCATCTAAGAACCCTAATTTCAGTTCAGGCTTAAATTCTCCGACTGTGATTTTATGATTCAGACTTTAATCTCAGAACTGTTTTTCGTCCCGAAGTCTCTTCCGTACTGACCCGCCGGGCTCTGTCCTGGTTGTGGACCTCGGTGGTGTTGGTGTCGCTTCTGTCCGCAGCGATGAAGGATCCTCTCCTGAGGAGGAAGTCTGTTAGTTCGTGATCTTTCACAGAACAAAATGTTAGTTTGTTTCCTGCTGCTGCTTTTTGGATTAAAAAAAGAAAACCAAGAGAAAAAGGGATTAGTTATCCGGAGACTGTTAGTTCACATGTCATCTTTTTGTACCCGATGTAATCTGAGTTAACCCTTAAAGTATCTCTGTTCATCCTTTCATCACACGTTCTGCCTTCGTTCTTTTTGACGATGGAGGTTGCCTTCATTTGAGAGTAAAGTGTAACTGATTAAAAACGCTTCCTCTGTAACTGATTTAGATTCACTCACAGATATAAAGAAGTGTGTTTACATGTTCGTAGAGGTGGATGTTTCTGAAGAGAGGTTCTGGCGGGCTGAGCCGAAGGTGCATTTTATGACTAAAGCCTGAACCCAGAGTTTCTACAAACCGCCGGTCGGTCCAGGTTCGGCCTCTGGGACCCGGTGGTCATGTGTTAGCGGTGGTTTACATCAGTTAAGTCCTATTTTAACGCTCTTACTACTCACAGATGACCCAGAACAGCTGTAACGCCCTTTAAAGAAGTGGATTAAACGTGCTCTCTGTTTTCACTCTGGGGCGCCACCTTCAGGTATAAAAGTCCATCTTCAGCTTCCTCTGGCCTTCGAGCAGCCGCTCAGCTCATCCTGTCTGAAACGGCCCGTCTGAAAGAAGCGGACGAAGCCGCTTTGAAGCCTCCAGTTGGCATCTTGGTCGTCACTGTTTTTTTTTTGTTTTTTTGTTTTTTTCTGGAGCCAGACGTGACCATATTTGGACGAGAGGGAGGAGCTAGCCAGGTGCATCCGTAATTCACGTTAACTGTGATATTAGCCGGGATGCTAACTGTGGCTAGTGACAGACAAAATGTAAAAGTGAAACACAACAACACAACTTAAATAAACACCGTGCAGCGGATACGAGTCGCCTCTATCCGGCATGTCAGCTTGTAGCCCCGCCCTAAAGCCTCCCCTGCTTCCTGGTCTCTGTTCCTCTAAATGGGACCATAATTTACTAAATGAACATCACGCTGTGTTGAAGAAGACTTGAAACTAGCGACTGAGACCAGAATCTCATCAGGAAAGAGTTTACTGAGGGAATAAATCAGCTGACAAGTAGAAACAGTTTCTTTCTGCTGCCGGTGGAGTCGCCCCCTGCTGGCTGCTGGAGGGAGCGCAGGTTGGTGGAGGAGGCCTGGCACAGGTACTTGGATCCAGCTCGGAGGCCGCTTTGTGAACCCCGACGTATCTGAACCTGGTTCCTGTACCAACGTACTCGATCTTCATAAACGAGGCCGGGAGAACGTCGGCGTCTGCTTCCTCGTGAGAGGGCGGGGACGGAGGGCAGAGCGCCATCTTCTCCATCATCTGCTGAGGGAGGAGCCAGAACGAGTTCATCAATAGCCAGCAAATAATTATCTTTAATGGGAGGAAAATGCTCTTTGGCAGATCCTCTGATTGTAACGATGGGGTCAGGGGTCAGGTGGAGACCTTTGTAGTTTAGTCATGAAATGCACCGTCTGCCCGCCACGAGCTGCACATTCTGACATCAGCCTCTGAAGTATCACTGCAATAACTGATCGACGGTTTATCAGCTCACCGTCGCTCTGTCTGCCGAGCGAAGACTCGTCACCTGCTCGGCCTCCGAAAGGTCGCGGGAGGAGGTTTTTCTCTGCAGGAGTGGAGGAGCGTCTGACGCTCCGGCTCCCTGCTGTGCTCTAACTCTGACAGATCCTATATTGATAATGTTGATGTTCTATAATGTTCTCCGGTTCCTTCAGCTGGAGTCGAGCGACTTCAGCCGGCAAACTAAATAAAAAGCTTTTTCTGCTACGCTGCAGGCGACTCTGATTCCACAACACTTTGTTTCACATCCAGAGAAGTAGATTTAAGTTCAACATGAAGGTCTGAAGAACTCTGAAGCCTTTAAGCAGCTTATCAACGAGAAGAGTTTTCAAACAGCCACCTTCAGTGTGGCTCAGCCGGAGGCATCTTAATATTAAGTAAAAAGTCAAGTCAGTACTTTGTTGTAAACAAATGTTAAAGCAGTTTTCACGACGTGTTTAGAAAATAATAAACTAATAATTAAAAGGATTAGCAACAACACAGCAGCATGTTGGGGGGTGGAAGATACCAGCTGCCACCGCTAAATATATAATTAATAACCTGTAGTGGCATCAAGTACACATTCAAAATCCCTTATTAATAATCCCACTAAGTGCAGCAGCTGCAGGGCAACAAGTAAGAAAGACGGATGAAGAATGAAGACGTCGCTCCTGCAGTTCCGTCCTCCTGCCGGCTGGCGGCGGTGAGGAGTCCGGGTTTGATCTGCGGCCGCCGTTAAAGCGGAAGCAGCCGCCGCTCCGCGGAGTTCAGCTCCTTGTTGATCGGTTCAGAGAAATAATCCGGTTTCTCTTCGGTCCCGCGGCCGTTTGAGGGTCCGTGAGGCTGAAGCTGCTGAAGCTGCGGAGATAACCGATGATTCTCCGGCCGAATCCGACTGTTTGCTTTGTTTACACAGTTAGCTCGGTGGCTAGCGTTAGCTTAGCTCGTGAGCTAGCGTTAGCTTAGCTCGTGTAGCTCTAAATGGGACGAGGAGCGGGACGGAACCGGCCCCCCATGGGGCCCCCGGGGGAAGACGGGCCTCCGTTCGACATGGGTCCACCGGGCTGGGGTCCTCCTCCGCCGGGAGGCTGGGGCCCTCCGCCGCCTGGTGGATGGGGGCCACCGCCGCCTGAAGAATGGGGGCCTCCGCCGCCCGGAGGGTGGGGCCCTCCGCCGCCTGGTGGATGGGGGCCCCCGCCGCCTGGTGGATGGGGGCCCCCGCCGCCCGGTGGATGGGGGCCGAGAGGGCCTCCTCCCCCAGACTGGGGTCCAAGAGGACCGCCGCCACCGGGCTGGGGGCCTCATCCTGAAGACTGGATGCCTCCTCCAGACTGGGGCCCTCACCCAGAAGACTGGAGACCCCCACACCCCAACGACTGGAGGGGCCCTCACCCTGATGACTGGAGGGGTCCTCACCCGGACGACTGGAGGCCCCCTCACCCCGATGACTGGAGACCTCCCCGCGAAGCCTGGGGACCACTTGGCTGGGGTCCGGAAGGTCTCCCTGAACCGTGGGGCCCCGAACACGGTCCACCTGGACCCATACCTCCTGTTCCACCTCCTGGTCCGCCTCCTCCTGTTGGGATTCCTCCTCCGGACCCCGCAGTCTACGGACCGGTCCCTGTACCTCCCATCCCCCCTGCAGTCTGCGGGCCCCCCATGGGGTACCCGCCGGCCTACCCGCCTCCCGGCTGGACCGCAGAGGTGAGCTCACCTGTTGTGTGTTGATCCTGTTAGACCAGAAGATCCAGTATTGATCATTCAGTGCAGGGTCGACCCGGCCCTTGTCCCGGTCCTGGGCCCGGCCCTTGTCCCGGTCCTGGGCCCGGCCCTTGTCCCGGTCCTGGACCCCGGCCCTTGTCCCGGTCCTGGACCCGGTCCCGTTGGTCATTATGTTTCCTCTCTGTGTTCAGACTATAGTTGAGGAGCCGATGCCGAACCCTCCCCCAGACCAGCCTGAGTGGGTGAGTACAGACCAGGTCCCAGATCAGACCTGTTACTCCAGCAGCAAGTACAGTTTAGTAGTACTGTAGTATTTATATGTACTTTGATGACTCAGTACTATATATAATAAGTACAGTGAGTACTTTTACCTTCGGTACTGCAAGTACATGTTAATGCTAAAACGTTATTAGGATCAGGTCTCTGCAGGGTCAGGTCTTCAGGTCTCAGTAGGATCAGGTCTCTTGAGGATCAGATCTTCAGGTCTCTGCAGGATCAGGTCTCTGCAGGGTCAGGTCTTCAGGTCTCTGCAGGGTCAGGTCTTCAGGGTCTCTGCAGGATCAAGTCTCTGCAAGATCAGGTTTTCAGGTCTCTGCAGGTTCAAGTCTCTGCAAGATCAGGTCTTCAGGTCTCTGCAGGGTCAGGTCTTCAGGTCTCTGCAGGTTCAGGTCTCTTGAGGATCAGGTCTCTGCAGGTTCAGGTCTCTTGAGGATCAGGTCTCTGCAGGGTCAGAACTTCAGGTTTCTGCAGGATCAGGTCTCTTGAGGATCAGGTCTCTGCAGGTTCAGGTCTCTTGAGGATCAGGTCTCTGCAGGGTCAGATCTTCAGGTCTCTGCAGGGTCAGGTCTCTTGAGGATCAGGTCTTCAGGTCTCTGCAGGTTCAGGTCTCTTGAGGATCAGGTCTCTGCAGGTTCAGGTCTCTTGAGGATCAGGTCTCTGCAGGTTCAGGTCTCTTGAGGATCAGGTCTCTTGAGGATCAGGTCTTGAGGTCTCAGTAGGATCAGCAGTTTCCTGTTTCTTTCAGATTAAAGCACTGATTTCAGCTCCGGCCTCTGAGGCCCCTGGGGAGCCCAAGAAACCCACAGAGGAGCCCGCCGTCCCTCCTGCTCCTGCAGCGGACACCCCCGCGGCCCCGAAACCCAAACCTAAACCCAAACCCAAACCGGACCTCACCAAGACCGCCAAAGCCCTCGGCCTGCTGGGAAAACGCACCTTTGATAAGTAAGTCAGCGTTTCATGGGGTCCGAGTGTGTCGTCTTCTTCTGTGGTGTCTGTGTGACCTGCTGCCTCTGTGTGTCCTCAGACCTCCTCCGGGCCGGTCCACGGGGATCATCTCGTTCATCGGGGTGAGTCATGTGACTCTTACTGTGATAAAGGCGCCTTCGCGTCGTGGCAGCGCAGGAAGTCTCTGCAGCGCCTTCGTAAATATCGGGCCTTGAAAGTCCTTGACATGTGTCTGATTAGTTTTTAATTTCTTCCTTAAATCTGATGTTTCAGCAGAAACGAGTAGCGACCACGACGCAGCCGGCGTCATCGTTAACCGCCTCAAGACCCGGCGTCCTCTCTGATCCCGGACTTGCCCCTGGCCGGTTTCACACACAGCGCGAGTTTTAAATTCCCATCGTGACACGACTTAAAGCAACGCGCCATTACTACGGCAACCCAAAACAAACGCAGCTGTTTCAGTAAACGGCTCAAAAGGAGCAGCTGCTTTTAAAAGGCGTGTTTTCTGAATGGAGTCTGGTGCCGTCTCATTTAAAGTGCTGCTGTGAGACGACCTGCAGGTGGAGAACGGCGTCGGGCTGATTCTGGCTCGTTTCCGCTGCTGTTCGGACGCTCGGCCCCGTTTACAGAAATGAGTCAGCTGACTTCTTTTACGGGGCCAAAAACCTTATCGCGATAAATGATTATCAGGATAAACGTCAGCTCGTTCTTTCTTTAAACTAAATTCAGATTTTTGCTCCTGAGTGAAAGTTAATTTGTTTTAAAGTTTCTGCCAAACGGAGGATCAGTAAACGGATCTGAGGCCGAACCTTCAGGATCTGTTTCCAACAAATAAACATCTTCATAGAAACATTAAGTGCTGATTTCGCTGGTGGCTCAGTTGAATCAAACATTTGCTTTAATGCTACTGAGGAAAATGAAGTGGTGCTTGTGACTCCAGTAACAGACTCTCTGTCTGAAGTCGCAGGTCGTTCAGCTTCCTGTCTTTCTCCCAGCAGGCAGAAATACGACGCTCTGCAGCTGCAGTAACAGAAACAGAAGCTCGAGTGAAGAGAAATCGATGTTTTAATGCCCTAAAAGAAAGTAAAAGGCTCATTTAAGAAAAGCCGTGAGCTCTGAGCTGCGTTATCGTCCGGCGCCGCCCGTCTCTCCTCCGGAGCTCAGCAGCTGGTCTCACGCTCTCCTGTCTCTGATCCTCAGCCGACCTTCGGCTACATCGAGAGGGAGGACCTGGAGAAGTACACCTTCAGCTTCGACGCCTTCTTCGGAAACCCCAAAGCCATGACGCCCGGGGTCAGAGTCCACTTCACCGCCTGCAAGGAGAAGGTGAGGCCTTGTCCCGGTCCTGGACCCGGTCCTGGACCCGGTCCCGTTGGTCATTATGTTTCCTACGGTTCAGTGTGATTCTGAGACAGACGAGGATCCTTTAAGGCCACCAGAGTAAAAACTGGAACAGAGATCACCAGGAAACGTTCCCGGTTGATTACTCGCTTTAAGACAATATTGTTTTGTGTTTTAGGTTTAAATATGCAAATGAGGCCGTTCTGTTTCTAGACCTGACATCTGAACTCTGCAGTAAGTCGGGTTCAAAGTGATTGTTTTAGTTTGTGGATGTTTTTAGATTTCTCTCTCAGAACATACTGCAGGGCTGCACGATACTGGGAAAAACTTCTTCTTCTCTGCGATAAAAACTTAAAAAGTTATCGGAAAAATACATAGAAAATAATCTGAATACTTTTTAAACGTATTTTAAACCAAATGATAAAAATGATCCTCTGTCGGTGGTTTTCTCCTCTAAAGTCGTCTGCTGCTTGGCTAAAGTTGGAAACTGAGAACTCTGCAGGTTTTCTTTCTTTTTCTTCTTGTACCAAGCAGAAAAAGAGTTAATTTGAGCTGCGTGCAGAAAACAGCGTTCAGCCTGTTTCTGCGAATCAGATGTTCTGTAATTCAGCCCTCTGGAAAAACCTCCAGTCTGCGAGAGCTGCTGAGGAGGAGACTTCAGGCTCGGAGGAAGAAACTGCCTTCAAAGATGCGTACTGTAAAATTCCATAATTTATGTTGATCAGTATTTACGCAGCCGATATCTGATCAGACTTTAACAGCAGCAACATCGAACACGTCAAACTGATAAAGTTAAAAGTTAACTTTCAGCTCTGCAGACGAGACAAACTGTGTTTTCTTTCCTCCAGCCTGAAAGAAAACACGTCCACGTTTTTACCTGCTGTATAAAAATGATCACTCTGAAACAGGTTTTAAATGCTCGTGTTCTGGTAACGCCGTTTTGTCTGGAAGCAGAACAGTCTGATAGCGACGGACGTGAAAGTGGCTCCAGGTGGAACGGAGAACGTGGACACGGAGATCTACGAGGCCGTGGTCAGCCAGCCCCTCGTGGAGCCTCAGGTCAGTTCAGACATCTTCACCCGTCACAGCTTCCCGTTTCCGCCGGCCTCTGACCCCCCCTGTTTTTGTCGATCCGCAGCCCGGCGAGCGCCACTACCTCGGGCAGGTCCACGTGGACATCGGGCCCCTGAGGACCAACCTGCCGTTCGACAGGAAGGACAGCACGGTGACGCTGCTGAAGAACGACCAGGTGCTGATCAACCTGCTGACCGACATCGTCACGGAGAAGAGGAGGGCCACCAACATCAAGCCCCAGATCCCCGCCACCTTCAGCCTCACCAAGGAGACCAGGGAGACGGTCAGAGCCGCTCGCCTTCCTGTCAGCACGCTCGTCTTCCTCGACTGTCTCTGACTTGATGTTTTTTTTATTCCTTCGCCGCAGGGCGTCATCATCAGCCTTAAGGACAGCGAGGGCGTCATCAAGTCGGAAGAGCACGGCGAGCTTCCCTTCGACGTCAAGGAGAACTTCAGCGACATTGAGTTCAACGCCGAGGACATCAACGAGGAGGTCGAGTTCACCCTGCTCACGGTGAGGCCTCCTCCTGCCGCTCAGGGGCGGGGCTTATTTTGACCTTCTCCGGCAGCTCCAGACTTCCTGTTCTGTTTAACGGACTCTAACATCAAACTCTTTTTTGGTTCTCCTCAGCGGAAAGCGGGTAAGCGAGCGATCAGGATCCGGCGGGTGAAGGAGCCCCTCCTCCTGACGTTCAGCGCCGCCACAGCCGCGGCTGCCGCCGCCGTCGCCGCCACCTCCGAAGAGGCCGAGGCCCAAAACACAGACGGCGACAGTGGAGACGACTCTTCCAAGTCGGTGAAAGTTAAGGCCGCACCCAGGCTGGAGCTGGGGCCCACCAGAGTCCTGGACCCGGAGCTGTACGAGGGCATCGTCAGCCAGCCAATCATCGAGCCCACGGTGAGTCGAGTGTAACGCAGTAAAAGGCCCCTGTTGTACTTTATATCCTCCGATTAAACACACAGTGGAGGTCACAGCGTGTTCCTAACGTTACCTGTGCAACTCTGAACACCTGATGGATGGAGAGAGAGAGAGAGAGAGAGGGGAGGGAGGGGAGAGAGAGGGAGGGGAGGGGGGGAGAGAGAGAGGAGGGGAGGGAGGGGAGAGAGAGGGAGGGGAGGGAGGGAGAGAGAGAGAGGGGGGGAGGGAGGGGAGAGAGAGAGAGAGAGAGGGGGGAGGGAGGGGAGAGAGAGAGAGGGGAGGGAGGCAGCCTACACAATATCCACACAGAGGTACAGACAGTAAAGGTGATGTTGCTATAGACTAAATGAAAAATGGTACAGATATTTATAATAGTGTTAATGATAACAATCGTAATGTTAATGATTATAATAACAATAGTAACAATAGTCGTTGCAGCAGAGGGTGTCGAGCAGGAACACGGGGGCAGCAGGTGACCCGCAGCCACAGATCCAGACTCCACAGCTCCAGAGCCAGAAACACCTGCAGGAAGTGATAGGAGGAGAGAGGAGAGGGACGAGAAAGCACAAGACTACCAGAAAGGGGAGAAGTTGTGTTAGTAACATGCAATAATGGGATAAGGTTGCATACAGAGGGAGAGAAAGTAGAGGAGAGAGGAGCTCAGTGCATCATGGGAAATCCCCCGGCAGTCTAGGCCTATAGCAGCATAACTAAGGGATGGTTCAGGACTCACCTGAGCCAGCCCTAACTATAAGCTTTATCAAAGAGGAAAGTCTTAAGCCTACTCTTAAATGTGGAGATGGTGTCTGCCTCCTGAACCCAAACTGGAACCTGGTTCCACAGGAGAGGAACTTGATAGCTGAACGCTCTGGCTCCTAGTCTACTTTTGGAGACTCTAGGAACCACAAGTAACCCTGCATTCTGGGAGCGCAGTGCTCTGGTGGGGTAGTAAGGTACTATGAGCTCTTTAAGATAAGATGGTGTCTGACCATTAAGAGGTTTGTAGGCAAGAAGAATGATTTTAAATTCTAACTCTTCTTTATCAAACCGGGTCGGACTGGATGGATTTAGCGCAAGGAGGAAACACGTGACAACGTCCGGTTTTCAAAATAAGGCGTCTGTACAGGATGGAAATAAGATTAATTGGATAATATTCACAGCAAGTATAAAACATATTACATGTGTCTATTAAAAGTAAATGGACTCATGTAATTTACTTTACCGGCCCCTCTCGGGCTCCGGGCACCCCCACGATATTCTCTCCACATCCTGTGGGAAACACTGAGGAAAAAGCACATTTTGACTGTTCAATTAATGCAGTGGGGAAATGTCAATAAATGTGAAAAACCTTGTTCGTTATTGGGGAAAGTTTTTTGAAAGTTTTGAAAAATTTGATTTCGACTAGAGAATTTTCACTTCGGTGCATCTCTAATGATTATAGGTCCTCCTCTGCAGGTTTAGCTTTCCAGCTGTTTGTACACAGAAATGATATGTAAATGATGATAATGGTCCAGAATGATGTGAAATGGCATATTTCTATTGGAGAACACAACATTTTCTTGAGGTAGGAGCCCTCATACATGTTTTTAAATCAGATATAAAGCGGGGTGCACTTTTCTATTGCACAAAAAATAATTAGCTTCACCTCTGCTGCTACAGCTCCAGGAGAAACACTGAAGAGTAATTAACACAATGCTGCATTGAATCTTTGAAGCTGAAACACCAGAACAATGTTTGCATGTCTGATTAAAGGACTAAAAGTTTCATCTGCAAATTTAACAAACTGTTTAATTTATAACAAAACATGTTTTAATCTGTGAAGTAACTAAAGCCATCAGAGATGCAGTTTAAAGTACTCTGAGATGTACTGCAGCAGAAAGTGTAAAGTGGCACGAAAAGAAAATACTCAAGTAAAGTACAAGTACCTGAAGTACTGCGCTTGAGTAAACGTACTTGGTTCCACTGATGGGAAATTCTCCAGAAGTCGTATGAACAGATGCTCGTGCTGAATGAGGCTATTGTTTTATTATTATTATTATTGTTGTTGTTGCTGAATGAACCTCGCCTGCAGCCGATCCTTCAGTTTGTGGCGTCCAACACGGCGTTCTGCGCCCTGACACCGCTCTCTTTGTAGCCCACCATGCAGGGTTACCCGGGTCAGATCCACGCCAACATCGGCCCCGTCCGGACCAACGTGACCTTCGACCACCGGGACTGTGGCGTCACGCTCCTGAAGAATGACCACGTGTTGATCAACCTGCTGGTCGACATGGTGACCAGAAAGAGGAGAGCTGCCAACATCAAGCCCAAAATCCCGTTCACCTTCAGCTACACCAAAGAGAAGAGAGAGCTGGTAACCTCACGTCTGCATCTTGCATATAGTGGACCTTATTCTGATCGATTTAACTTTATTATCCAACAGGAAGTGAGACACTGAAGAGAACCCCCACCCCGGTAACGGGATCAGCTGTGACGTTGATAGATGATAGATATTTATTAGTCCTTTCAGAAATTCATAGTGTATCATACACCAAACATTAGACCAACAAACACACAACTGCTTTACCAACACAAACATCACCCGAGTGCTCTACAAGTTATACTGAGGTGCAGCTCCCCGACACCCAGTTAACTCCTGACTGTGACGTTACAACCCAAACTCACGGTCCAACCAGGAGAACAACAAACGCAAATGTGCACATTTTCAGCTGAGGATCGCGGCGTCTTTTGGCTTCAACTCAACAATCAATCATGATTTCAGTTAAATGCTAAAGTTACTGTTACCTTGAAACAGGTCCGCTGGCAGAACACTGGCTACTTTCTGATCAGGTGCCTTCATGCTGTTGTGGAAGGCCACATAAGTTTAATTTTACGGTGGACGGACTGTAACTTTGCAGAGTTGTTGTTTGTTTATTTAGCTTGAAATAATCCCAGACTTTGGACGCTTTCTTCTTTGTCCCTGACTATTTTCTCTCTCTTCCTCCACTTTGTAAACAGCTGCATCAAATTCCCGTCGTGTTCACACAGCGATGTGCAACAGTAATAAATGTCAATGCGAAACTGTGCGCTATATGGATTAAAGTAATCGATTTAATCAATGAATCGTTTCAGCCCTACTCACTGTACAGAGCTGCTGTTTCCTGTTGGCTTGAAATGATCCCAAACTTGTGACGGTGTCAGGCGATACACAGATGAGGCAGGTTTTAATCAGCGTGGCATTAAGCAAAACAGGCGTTCCTGAGCCAAGGCTGGTCTGGAACTGATTATCAAATCGAGTACAGCTGGTGCTGCAGGTAGTAATGCCATAATAACACTATGGTGGCAACGATATTCATCTGTTCATTCATTCTTGTCAAATACTGACTTCATGCGCATGTCCGTTTACTAAACAGTCAGTGTCAAGTATACGAGAAGCAGCCCACAGAAATGATTTCTTTAGTGCACTCGCAGAACTGCAAAGTGAAACCAAACCAAAACTAACCAAATGTATTAAAAAATGAACTTTGTTTTAGACCTTGGTGCAGACCTTCAGCTGTGAAAGGGCCCTAAAAGAGGTGTAATACAAACACGGCTCCGTCCCTTCAGACAGCAGCACCCCCCTGCCAACCCTTCAGACAGCGGCGCCCCCCTGCCAACCCTTTACGTTTTGTCCCTTCAGACAGCAGCACCCCCCTGCCAACAATTCAGACAGCAGCGCCCCCCTGCCAACCCTTCAGACAGCGGCACCCCCCTGCCAACCCTTTACGTTTTGTCCCTTCAGACAGCAGCACCCCCCTGCCAACAATTCAGACAGCAGCGCCCCCCTGCCAACCCTTCAGACAGCGGCGCCCCCCTGCCAACCCTTCAGACAGCGGCGCCTCCGGCCAACCCTTGACGTTTTGTTCTGGTTGTGTCTTTCAGGGCATCATCACCTGTCTGGGAGCTGAAGAAGGCATCGTGAACTCTGAGGAGCACGGAGAGCTTCCCTTCGACGTCTGTGAGAACTTCAGCGACACAGAGTTCAGCACCGCAGACATCCACAAGGAGGTGGAGTTCACGGTGGCCGTGGTGAGTCTGCCGGACGCTGGACCAGAGGACAGGAAGTGAAGACGTTTCATTTCCTGACGCCGTTGTTCTGTCTCCACAGGTGAAAACTGGAAAGAGGGCGATCAGGCTGATGAGGACGAAGAGGATTGAGGACCAAATCCTGGAGGAGCAGAAAAGACGGGGGGAGGAGGAGAAGAAGAAGAAGCAGGAGGAAAAGGAGAAAAGGAAGCGAGAGGAGGAGGAGAGGAAGAGGAGGGAGGAGTTAGAGGAGGAACGAGAGAGAGAGGCGGAGAGGAAGAAGAAGGAGGAGGTGGCGGCGGCGCTGGCAGCGGCCAAATGCAAAGTGAGAAGCAGAACAGGAGACACTCACAGATTTTAGTTTCACACATTTACACATAAAACACATCTGTAACACCTGCTGGGAACTTCAGGGTCAAATAAACTACAACCTGTCCCAGAAGGCAAAAGAAAAACACAATTCAGTCAAATTCAGGAGTTTAAGGTTTATTTTTAAGTTCATTTTGCTTGAGTTTACTTTGAGGTTTAGTTAAATTTGTTAAAGTTAAGTGTTTAGTAGGGCTGAAACGATTAGATTAAGTAGATTTAATAAAAGTCATCGATGCTTCGTATAATCCATGTAACTAAATAGCACAGTGTTTCGCAGGGACAATGTGTAGTCGAGCCTTTAGTATAACTTGTAGCTTGTGTAACTTGCAGCTGTCTGGTTGTTGGTCTGATGTTTGCTGTATGACACTGAATTTCCAAAAGGACTAATAAATATCTATCACCTATAAACGTGCACAGCTGATCCCGTTACCGGGGGGGCGCCGCCGCCATGCAAAAGTACTTCTTAAACGAAGCATCGATAAATCATTGAAATAACCTATAGAAGCTTTGAATACAAAAGAATCGTTTGCTGCAGCCGTAGTGTTTAGTTTGAGTTTATTTTAAGGTTGACTTTAGTTAAACATTATGTAAGATGTTTTTAGTGTGATGTGGCGATGGCGCAATGGATAAGACTATGATGTGGCGTCCCACCAGTTTCACAGTGTAATTCAGCGACATGGTAAAAGCTGTACATGTGCATTTCTTATGATCACATTACATTACGATCAATAACTATTAAGTTGCCAACAGACATCAAGCAAGTGCGACAACAGAAGACAGAGCGAGCAGCTAATAAGTTATTACTGACTAGTCCAAGAAGGCCAGCTCGCCGTCTGTCCTGCAGCCTTTCGCTCTTTTAGCTCAACCAGTAAAAGCCAGTCTGATATTTACTCTTGTCCTTGTTCCTCCGACGTCTTCAGTCTCTTTCGCAGCCTCTGCCATCATGTCTATTCTGAGAATACCGAGCCGTTGAGTTTATTTAAGAGTGAAGTTTAAGATTGAGTTCAGTTTTTGACTTCATAACTCCAACCTGTACGATTAATAACAAGATGTTCATTACACAGCTTATTTACGTTGTAAGTTTGTCCACACTCTTCAGCAGTTTTCACATTTCTTATTAACTTTTAAAGCTTAAACCAGTTTAAACCCGTTTCTCTCTTCTTCCTTTTCCAAGCGCTTTAATCAGACTGAAGTGTTTCTGACTTCTGTCGCCCTGCAGTGGACGCCGCTCGGCTTCACAATGAGGGACCCCGACACGCTGGACGACATCAGCAAGGAGCGATTTGAAGGCACCGTCCTCAAAGCCATTTCCAAAAATGTAAGAAAGATCAAGAAGGAGCCGGGGGAGGAACGAGGAGGAGGAGGAACTGAGGGCGGACAAACTCTCCTCGCACAGGTACAGAAAGAGTCTGGAAAAGTTCTGCAGTTTGTGACTTTTCCAGAAAATAAAGAATCCATTAATACTTTTTTTTCTCTTTCAGATCAAAAAGGAGAAAACAGATGATGAAGGTGAGAAGGCAGAGGCGGATGGGAAACCTGAAGGAGAGGAGGGAAAGCTGCAGATTAAAAAGGAGCCGGAGGAGGAGGCGGAGAAGGATCAGTCGTCTGAAGCTGGAGGTGGAGCTGCCGCAGGGGGCGACGGCGCTCCGGACCCGGAGATGGGTCGACTGGTGATGACCATCGACGGCCAACAGAAACAGCTTCCCTTCGGTCCCACCGACCTGCTGACCACCGCCACCATGCTGGACGGAGACAAGGTGGGAGACTCAAAACAGACTAACATAAGAACAGGATGGAAACTGTAGACGGGTTTCCCCTTTACAGACAATGAAGGATGAATGCAGCTACAGAGAGAAAACGGCTGCCTTCCTGCCGTCATGACATCATTTTACGGACATTTCCAGTATTGAGAAATAAAGCAACTCGATAGAAACTAGTGAAATCACAGTTTATATTATTATAACTGTTAAATTTACACTACTAGTCAAAAGTTTGGACACAATTAGAAGTTTGTAAATGAAAGGCACATTTTGGTCTATTAAAATAACATCCCATTAATCAGAAATACAGTGTAGACTAGGCTTGTTTCACTGATCAGAACTAAGATGACATAAAAACAGTGTCTAGAATCGACACCACACTGCAGTGTTTCCCATTCATGGACACGACTCGCCACATACTATTTAATATGAGTAAAATCATATTTGAGCGCATGGATTCCCTCTCTCACACAAACACACTGAAACGCTGCCGTCTGTAAATAGCTTCTCTTTGTGCACAGTCTGAATCCAAAATACTTTATTGATCCCCGAGGGGAAATTCTGTAAATGCGCCTCAAGAGGGAGTGTTGCCGGCTTTTCTGCGATTCCTGAATCAATGACGGTAGCACAGCTTCAAAACTGTTGTGCTGATTGAAGAAGATATAAAACTGGCCTTCTTTAGACAAGTTGAGTATCTGCAGCTGTGCGTTCCATCACAGGCTCAAAACAGCCTGAAACTTTCTTCTGAAACTCGTTTTTGTTCTGAGTAATGAAGCTATTCCATGTGAGAAATTGCCAAGGGGTTAGGGTTAAGGTGACTACCTCTTTTACAGAACAGCACAAACGGGCTCTAACCAGACCAGAAAGAGGAGTGGGAGGCCCTGGTGCACAACTGAGCAAGTGGACAAACGCATTAGAGGGTCCAGTTTGAGAAACAGACGCCTCACAGGTCCTCAACTGGCAGCGTCAATAAATAGTACTCGGTGTCAACAGTGAAGAGGCGACACCGGGATGCTGGCCTTCAGGGCAGAGTGGCAGAGAAAAACTCAAGAAAAGAAAAGATTCAGCCATAATCTTTGTTCTTTTTATTGGCTGGAAGATACTGTTCCTAGAAGGCGAGCAGCCGTTTGCAGCAGCAAGGGTCATTTGGGCGGCACGGTGGTCCAGTGGATAGCACTGTGACCCGGCCTTTCTGTGTGGAGTTGGTATGTTCTCTCCGTGTCTGCGTGGGTTTTCTCCAGATGCTCCGGCTTCCCCCACCCTCAAAAACATGTTGGGTTCTTCAGTCAGTGCCTTTGACCAGACACTGATAAAGATCTGGACTTGGTCCCCCAGCGCTGCACAGCGGCTGCCCACTGCTCCCTTGAAGGTTGGATTTCACTACATGTATGTGACAATAAAGTATAACCTACCTTACAACATTAACACTTTCTACACTGTATTTCTGACCGATTTTATTTTAATGGACAAAAATGTTCTTTTCATTCCAAAACAACAACGTTTCTAAGTGTGTCTAAACTTTTGACTGATAGTGGAAATGTGACACTTTCGGGTTTATTTTATCACCACACACACCACCTTTGATAGACATCAGCCAACTCTGGCTAACGGCTAACGTGACAGTAGCTGGTAGTACCGCGCTATTTCTGGTTAAATTAGGTTTGTGTGAGCTCTGTGCTGTTTCCTCAGAAACGTTTGTACAGCAGCTTGAACTGCTCCTAAACGTTGTCTGATCTGTGAAGGTGCGTTTCAACATCGCCACCCATCGAGAGACCAAAGAGGAACGAGCGACCTACGTGGAAATCCTCCCCGAATCCTTCGAAGAGTCCATCGAACAACGTCGACACGTAAGACTTTTAAACTACCTTCTCCTCACATTGTTGGCTAGCAAGTTTGGTTTGCAGAGTTTGAGTCAGAGCAGCTTTTAAATCAAACTGGGACTGGATGAAACCCTGTGAACTGTTTAACAGTTTGTGTGCTGGATGTGTTTTTAATAACCAGGGCATCGTGATCGAGTTCTCAGACGACTCCGGGCTCATCAAGTGTCCTCAGAACCCTCAACTCTACTTCCACATGTCCGAGGTAATAGAGAAGAAGAGTCTGAAGCTGAATGAGAACGTCGAGTTCAGCGTCGTCCCGGTGAGTCTTCCTCATTTTCAGTTATAGTTCTTGTGGCTGTGGTGCTTTTTTAAAAGGAGGGTTAGGTTTTAGAAACAAATAAATACTGCAGAAAGTCAGATATCCTCAGGACAAGAAGCCAGAGTTCGTTGATATTCATAATCAGACCTACCCAGACCCTGTGGCTGCAGGTGAGTCAGAACCACGACCAACCACTAATGTGAGGACTTCACTCATCTCTTCATCACATCATTTGAAGTTTTGCACTGGTTTACCAATTGATATTTTAATGTCAGGTAAGATGAGTCTTCTGTGTGTCTGAAAGTTTGATTTACATGATGTTATCCAAGTTCAAGGCTTTCAGAAGAATAACTTCCTAACTTCAGATTGTGAAGTAAAAATCAGCAGTCTGTGTGAATTTCTTCCCATGAAGAAATAAAGCAGTCTTTTCCCCCCAATAGGTCAACAGCTATGTAACGTAGCTGCTCGTATTTTCTATTCTGATGTCAATTTTAAAGATATTTACAAGTGAACAAGTTCTGAAAAGCAGCAAGCAAGCACTCCTTCCAGAAAGTCTGTAGTTTCGGATAGTGAGGTCTGATAACACTCTAATCACTAAAATACTGGTTATGGAACTCTGGTGTCCTGGTTTAAATGATGTATTTTATCTTGAATATTTCTGAGTAAAAACATGTCCGTTATTGTTTCTCCAAGCATGAAACGGCAGAGGGGGGTAACCAGGCCATTAGGATAAAGCGTTATACCGAGAGCGTTTTCCTTCCCATCCGTAAATTGGGCCGTGTCGGGGCCAACAAAGCAAAGGTAAGGATACTTATATATTTATGATGTGAGAAGAAAGGAATCGCTATTTCTAGGTTTTTTGTTGTTAATTCATTTTTTCAAATCCATCTGGGCTCATCAAACGTAAAATTACAGAATTCATGCTTAAATTTTATTTTCCTGGACTTTTCCACTATTTTGCTTTTAGCGTTATACATGCCGTTATCATACATCACATAAATTGATATGCAAATTATTTGTATTATATTAACAAGAGAAGAGTCGTCACCTAAATTAATTTACCAGTTTCTGTTTACCAGTTCTGTGTGAATTTAACATATGATGAGGCATTTTTGTCTCGCAATGTCGGCAGAGGTATTTATTTTTCTAACTTAGCCTAATATGTGTTTATCTCCTTTGGTAGATGACCATCAAGCTACCAAAAGCTTTGGAAGACACGGAGTGAGTAATGAATTTATTTCTGTTATGTTCGAACATGATCAAGTGTGCAGAGAAGAATGCCATACACATATGTTTACCAATTTTTATATATATAAAAATAATAATGACCTATTTCAAATTGGTATAGAAATTTTGTAAAATTATTCTAATGAGCAAAACAACGTTATATTTCAGGAAAGAAAAACCAGAGACGGACAAGCTGAAGGCAGTGGTGAAAAATCTTAGAACGCAGGACAACAAGACCAGTATCAGCAGAAGGGATTACAGTGCCACACGGCATAAATACGGGCGTAGCAGAAGTAGGAGCAGAAGCAGGAGTAGGAGTAGGGCCAGGAGTAAAAGTAGGAGCAAGAGTCCACCCAGAGACCAGTTTGGACGTATCATCAAAAGGAGATCGAGCACCAGCGTTGACCGTGACCGCAAAGGCAGCAGGAGCAGGCGAAGCCGAGAGAGGTCAAAGAGGCGCACCAAGAGCCGCAGCAGGAGTCGCAGCCGAAGCAAGAGCTCCAGCAGGAGCCGCAGCAGGAGCAGGGAGAGAAGCAAGGACAGGGCTGCCAAGAAGAGGAGCAAAATCAGCAAAGAGAGAGAAGATAGTCACAAAAGGAGGAGGGAGTTGAGCCCTCCTCCCAGACGTGTTGGAGTCATGGACGACGAGCTGGCGAGGAAGAAGCGGGAGCTGGAGGAGCTGAACGAGATGATTGCCTTCAAAAAGTCTCTGGTGGACCCCAGAGGACTTGACCCTGGACAGAGAACCTGCATAGACTACGACCATGGCAGGATCGCCGTCCCACTCGCTGAGTACAAACCAGTCCGGTCCATCCTGAAGAAACGACCAGAGGGACCGGAGTTCCACCATCGTCCTCCTCATCCCTATGATGATCCTTATTATGACCGGTCATACAGTCCTTACCAAGATCGGCGGTGCGGTGACCCCTACGGTGATCTGTACGTTAGCCGCCCCTACCCCGATCGCCCCTATGGTGACCGTCCCTATGGTGACCGCCCTTATGAAAATCGACTATATAGTGAAGCTCCCTATGTTGGCCCTTCGTCTGCTAGCCAGCGATACACAGATCGCTATGATGTTTATGATGAGCCCTATGACGATCGCTACAATGACCCAGCATGTGCCGACCAACCTTACGATCCATATCGTCCTGTCAAACGTAGCCAGTCTCCAGAACCCCTTGGTCCCTCATCATCTCAGTCTGGCCGAGTTCCTGCTGCCTCCACCCAATCTCCCTTGATGCACAGTGTTGCCTCTTCATCTTCCCAACCCCCTTTCAAACCTCCTTCTCCCACAGAACCGCCTCCAAGAAGCCCTTCTCCCAGACTGAAGAACACAACTCCACGCCAGTCACCTCCAGCTGAGAAACAGCCCCTTGATCGCTTTCTTGATATGCTTAATAAAAAGGTGGATGCTGAAAAGAAATCAGAACCGGTTTATGTGAATGATGACCTTTTGCCTCATGAGCGGGCACTTCAAGATGGCAGGGGTTTCTCTCGGATTGTGGGATTGGCTCAGGAGCAACCCACCAGCAGTCTCGCTCGAGAAGGGGAAAATAACCAAACTAACCCTAAACGGTCCTCAGTAGAGAGGATAAGCGAGGAACCAAAGAGCAAGACGGAGCCCTATGACAAGATCCAGAGTCTGCTCCGTACTATTGGCCTGAAGCTGAGTTCAGGAGATGTGTCCAAACTGGCAAGTCGAGCCCAAGAGAAAATCTATAGCCCAAAGTCCTCATCCACAGAGAGAGAGACATTGTCATCCCCAAGGGAAGAACTGCGAATAAATAGAACCGGTTCTGTCGAATTGGATCACATCCATTCCCCCTCTAACGCCAGGTCCTCCAGTTTGGAGCCACTCAGCAGCCATAAAGCAGTCTCGGAGTATGAAGGATTCCTGGACCAGCAGGAGATGGAGGCACTAAAGAAGGCACAACAGTTGCAGAGTCTTACCAAGACAATGGGGAGCGCACCCTCAACCACTCCTCCTCTGAAACCACCTTCTGGGCCTCCTCCTGCTCACTACCAACATCCACCCCCACCACTCAACTGGACCCTTGGTGTCTCTACCCAGATTCTCCCAGCACAGAGCTCCACAACCCCCAGCACGGGCACTCCAGCCCCTCCTGCAGCTGGTCAACCACCCCAAAGATTTGGACTTCCTGTGGGACTTCCCCCTGGACCCCCTCCTGGACCTCCTCCACGGCGTCCTGCACAGTCTCCTCCAGGACCCCCTCCTGGACCTCCTCCACGGCGTCCTGCACAGTCTCCTCCAGGACCCCCTCCTGGAACTCCTTCCCGGTACTCTCCTGTACAACCTCCTTTCACTCCACCCCCCAGTAATGCAGTCTTTCCTTTTATTGGCCAGCCTCCTACAGCTTCATCCATCAACTCCTCCAGTCCTTTGCAGCCTTTAACCACTGCCGCGTCAACACCAACAACACCGGCAACATCAAGTCCTACTTGTGGTGACCAGTCAACCATCTCTACAACAGTTGCCAGATGCCTGAAGGTCATTGAGACGGTGAAATCTCTGGCTGTGCAGCCACCAGCCAAACCTGTCAAAACAGTCCAGTTCAGTTTACCTACAGAGTCTCCATCATCCTCCAGTTCTCCGACCTCTGCTGAGACAGATGATGAGATAAAGACTAAGCAGAAGGAGAAGGTATGATCAGCTGGGGCACTACTGTACTCATATTTTACTTATGTAAAGTAAAAGTAAACAGGTAGTGTTGGATATAGTCAAGAATTAAGATAATGCTTTGGGAAGAGGTAACGGTGTTATATTGCACTGGGGGGGGTGTTGACTGCTGAAGTACAATTCCTACAAGATGATAACTGATTCTTCTTTGTTAAAGATTTGCATCTGCATCTGTGTTAATTTATGTGCATGTATTCCTGAGGTAGAAATGTGACCACCGGTAGAGATTTAGCAATAACGTTATCCCTGCCTTTGCCTTGCGCTCCGTCATTTTGCGAAAACAGCGATTTACCTGCCGGTTATAGGCTTGAGGCTGCGTGAACTCGTTCGGTTAGGACTTGAGTGTAACAGACGTTCATTTATATGTAAAAGTCCAGCACCCCTGCTTTAAGTTATTGGGGTTAATGACTACTCATGCATACGGCTAATTTTCAACTGTGGTACTCTGCTGGGAAATGCAGTGACTTAAACCAACAGTGAGTAAGATATAGTATCAATAATATGTAATGTATGTTTTTTTAGCTATGTGTAGAGGAACACTCCGCTAGCCACTAGGCTATTTTATGCCGTGTAATATGCCATAGGCTTAAGCTAATGATGACAGTTGTTTTGTCTCTGAACCCTGACAGTTAAATGTTCTCCACCTGCCCCTAAGCAGACCGAGGGGAAACACTGCTACTGCAACTAGTCTCTCTGCTATAAATCCGGGGCAAGCTATGTAGCACATCAGGGCTAGTTTCTTGCATCATTAGTTACTGTATCATGAGTTATACCATTACCTTGATTTAAAATGACACATACCATGATAAAAGATTTTGGCCATACCGCCCACGCCTAATTCCCAGGTAATATAAACACACTTGTGCACTTAATAAACCTTAGAAACAATGAACACTGCCATGTTTCACCTGCATAAGATAAAGCCATGACAATGCATTTGTTTATATTTGTATTTGTTTATGTTGCAGCTGGACATGTATAACCAGCGGGTTTTGGAAAAGAGGGAGCAGCAGTACAAGGAGATGCTAGCCCGTAGGAAAGGAGAGAAGAACAAGGATGGCACATTGATCCTTCCAGGTATCAGAACTTTGTTAATTACATAAATTAAACTTAACTAGCAACCTTTGATTTACAGGCATTTGTGAGTAAAGCTTCCAGTAAGGTTATGTTCTCTGCGTGCTAGTTCTTCAAAAATATAAATGCATTTTCAAGTTAACATTTTACAGCGGCATGCCATTTAGGTTACTTTTAGGGCTAAAGACAGAAGATAAACACCTTGTTTTCTTTTTCTTTAACCAGACAGGTACTTTGAGCCAGATTAATGGTTAGCCAGACATTATTGATTAGAGTAGATATGTTAAGTTTTGTCTAGATCTATCTGAAGTAAACGTATCATTAGCAAGGCCTAATTTTCCCGCTAAGCTAGATTTATACTTCTCCGTTGAGGTGATCTTGCGCTCTCACTGTAGATTTACACAAGATGGTAGGTGAGTGACAAGGAGCTGTAAACTGCCTTCAAGATTACCTAGACATCTTGAGTGCGTTACAGCGCCACAAAGGTCAGTCGCTCTTCTGCCGCACATGTTACCTGAGCCAAGCGGTTCGTCCCAGCAATCAAGAAAAGAAGCCAACTGCAATCTCAACGCCACAAAGTAACATCTTTTTCCTCTTCATGTTACTCCATTGGTGTCTAGCTTTAAAGGAACCCGTTTGAGTGCTACAGTAGATAGTCAGATGAGATTAGGAGAGGTCAAGTATAAGTATTGTTTGACACTTCTAAATGCAAAACTTTATTTTATTTATATAACTTTAATTGATTAGTGTATTTAAACAAATTAATCACAATGCTTTACTGTGAGGCTATGAAATTCACCAAGCATTTGATACCAGCTTGGGTACATGATGACGTTCAGTACTGGAAATTACAGAAAAGTTTTGGTCAGTACCAAAAAATTATTTATGTATGAGACCTGGCCATAGAAGTTAGCTAGACATGTAGTTTCCGTGATACTTTTCAGACAAGTTAGTTTTGCTGGGTTTTGGGTATTCGGCTTCATAAAATTCAGATACACACTCAGTGATCACTCAGAGGTACATCTTCCTTCGCCAAATTGTGAATCTCATTCGTGCGCTTTGATGGAACCTGCAGTGAGACAGCTGGAACTGCCATGGTATCTTCCAAACTACAATGTATGGAATATTTTGGTATGGATCCAAGAACCGAAATACCTTCATGAGAGCAGTCAAATATGTTTTGACATGTTCAGTCTCAGAACATCAGAAAGACAAGTCATGTAACCTTGAAGAGGGTTTTGTTTGAGACACTGCTGGCTTTGACTTTGTGTCAGTGTAAAACAAAAAGATTAAGCCCCAGTGGTATGTTATCCTTAAATAGTTTTCATCTAGTGTGCTTATACTTTAACCTCCTAGTATATCTCATAATGTTTAAGTTGGGATAGGTGGTCCCCCAAAACTATAGGACACCTTTGATTGCGTGGACACCCAATATTTCTGTGTTCCATTATTGACTACCTTTCACTACACATACATCCTGTTTCAGTAGAACTTCTGCTTGCCATTAGAACTCAAGAGTCTATTCATATGGAAAACTAACTCTACAGCTATGGTCCAGGGGACACTTTGATCTAGAGAGATGCTAAAGGATACTGATGACGATTTGTCAAACTAAATCTTTACCTAAATCACTTGGAAACGTGTACTTCAGCAGTGACCACTGAGTGTAAACCCAGTACAGCTAGCTAAAATGCTATTGCTAAGCTTGCATTTGATCGGTTGTTCATTGTTAGTAAAGCCTGTAACGCCATGTTGCAGTTTAAACGAACATAGAACTTAGCTTTAGCTGTCTACGAATAATAATGTAGGAGGAAGCCTCACTAACAGCTTAGTCTGTACTACTGTTTGTAGTACTTGGAAGTAGCACTAGGTATTTAGAACTTTATAAGTACAAATCATTCTTTCTTAAAATTGGTTAGTGGCTTGCTCATGCCAGCGGGTTATGTAGCTGACATTGTCTGCTACAACAAAGACATGAAATACACTCAAACAATACCTAAAACTTTATTAGGTCATGTTTTGAGCCTGATGCTGACTGCATGAAGAACACATCTGGTCCAGGACACAGTAGGTCTCTTAGGTTTAGATGGCTTTTACAGACATGGCTTAAATAATCCAGGAAACAGTCTAGTAAGAACTGCCTAGATGTTAACATCTAGGGTTGTATTGTTAGGAGTAACTATAAAGGTCATTCCAAAACTAACATACGATAATGAAAATTCAGAGGGTAAAAACTGATTTCTGTCCAGAAAATGGTTTATGTGAACTGTAGGAGTGGTTTTGCCGTCGACTTTCAGAAATTACAATTGCATTTTTTGGATGATCACATCATTTCATACAGCTGTGAAATCCAACCAGTCCTTCCATCAGGGAAATTACAAACAACTGTTTCCTTTTAAAGAGACAACTAGTTTTTAACATCTAGTTTTTGAACTCTGGTCCATCGACCAAACGGAAATGCAAGCCATGTTCATGAAAGCCTTACGAGTGTTTTACTGAGCCTTTATACATCAAGTCCTCACATGTCCAGGCATAACTGAAGCTGTTAGAACAGCTTGCATTCTGATATAAGTTTGCAAACTGGCAAATGTGGTAAGTGTTTGTGCCAGGTCCAAGTAAAACTGTTCAGGGTAAGTCAAGTTTGCTCAGTTCTGTTTGTGTCAAACTGAATGGAGTGTAGCCGCGTTTCCCGGATATCCAGAAAAGTGACATTTAACAGAAGATCCAGAAGACTCCTCGTAATTGTGACTACTCAAAGCGTTTGATTCATTTACAGTGAAAGAAGTTCGTATTTTACAAGGTAAAAAGATTTTTTTTGTCAGTTTGTCAGCCAGGTAATACTGTTTTAACAATAGAGCTAGTACAGAATACAGCTAAAACAGAATCTATGCTATGGCAGGTTGAGTCTGTCCCTTGAGTTGTGATGCCACTGTTGGTCACAAATGAGTTCACATAACTTATTTGGTAATTAAATTTAAATGCCATGTTTCTTAAGGCCAATTTATACTTCTGCGTCAAATCTATGCCGTAGGTACGCCATAACCTGACGCTCACAAAACCGGTCGCAGCTTAGTAGCGTCGCATTCCTGCCTACACATTTCCGTGTTCTTGTCCCTCACCCTGTTCAAGAGTTGTACATACCACCTCTTCTGACGCCTTCTCTCTTCTCTGCTTTTCTGTAATTTTCCTAAAAAAGTAACTGCTGTTCAACGTCGATCAGCTCCAATTCCAACATGATCTGCTCAGTTTCTGTCGCCATTGTTTTATAGTAGCCTACACCAACGATAAAGAAGAAACTCAACACAATGGGAACATAGAAAGCCCACTGCCAGCTAGTGCTTTGGCGGCGTCACTGTAGAGTGACGCAGACACTGACACCAACACCAGGTATGACGGTACGTATCGGCATAGACTCGACACAGAAAATTGGCCTTTCAGCAGAGCTTATGTTAGCTGTGTGGAAGTAGTGTTGCTAATTAAAGTAATGCACACTAGCTTTTTCATCTGAAGTTGGTGGCACAGTTAAATGTATCGACATTTAAACATATGCTTTTGATTAATTGTATAACTGTTAGTCCAGTTTTAGTCCATGTCATTTAGTTGATTTATGCTAGGCCAGGCTAAAGTCATTGAGTTATTGTGTGGCTGAGGTCATCACTGATAGCAGAGGCGAGGATGGGATGTCTGAAGATATCCCCACATCACTGAGATCATTTCCGTATTGCAGACAGGTTTCTGATTTAAATCTGAGCCCACGTAGGGCTCTTCAGTCAGATACCTTAACTGTATCAGACGTCACTTATCAGCAGTCTGTCATTATCGCAGTAAGTGTCCAACTCTAAATACTATAGTGCTTCTTTTAAATGTCAGGATCATTATTAAGAATATGTTGAGTAATGTTACGCAGCATCTTGTCCAAGCTAAGTTTGTTAACTTGTTAATCAGCCTAGCCTACTAAGTAAGTGTATAACTTCTTAAGCTCATTAACTTCAATTCAAGGCTTTGAATTCCCTTTTCCTTCCAGTCTGTAAAACTATCTACGTTAGCTCTGGAAGCTAATGTAGAGATTTAAGGGCAGTTGCATATCGTTAACTTTAGTAATTTCAGACATGACTTACTGGTAGTCTTTCGTCAACACGGTAAGTAACTCCATACCTAACATAAATGAATAATTCTAATTCTTAACCATAATTTTAAGTGACATGTAGCATGGGCTAAATGTACCCACTGAAAATGTATATCACATCATTATTTTTGAGCTATCAACGTAAATACCTGTGAATGGGACCATGGCTGTGAACAAGCCTGTCCTTTCAGTCCATTTCCATTTGATCGCTTTATCTTCAGCCAATAATGTTAAATCGGTTATTTCAGAACACATATTAGATTTAAATGTGTGTCAAGGATTTCAGCACTACAACCCTGCTGGTTGAGATCTGGGGGTCTTTACATGGTCAGTTTTTATGTTCATAGGATGTTTAGATGTAAGATAATACAGGATATCATGCTAACAGGTGCTAGAATATGAATAACTAGAATATGCTAACTTTTAGACATATTGCCAGTCTCAGGAATGTTTTTAGTCAACTGTTTTGCTGATGTTTCAGTCTGTGAATCAGGACAAACGCTGCCCTCCATGTCTCAGTTGGTGTCTGAACACCTAACGTTTGCAGTTTCATCACCCAAACAGTAGGCCATCTGTCACTCCGCTCACTTATTCGCATTTAAATCCACTGTGATCACATCGCGGGTCTCATCTTTGTCTTTAAATATGCTGCTCAGGTAACTTTCATTTACATGTGCCATGTCGCTGTGACTTATCACAGGACTGACTGCCAGACTACCAGTCTAGATCAGCTTAGTGGAGATGATGGGGTCCAGTATGGAGTGAGTGAACAGAAATGGAAAACAAAAAATCTCAGACAATTTTTAAAATGTTACAGATGAATGGGCCTTTTAATCAATTTTTCAAACACCCATCAGTCTCCATGCACTAGCCTCCCCACTCATGGTTCTTAACAGTGTTAATACCCACATTATCATAAGATCAACATATTAATTTTGGGACACAATAAAAGGGCAACTTCAATTGTCTGCTACTTGAAACATACAACAGATTTCCAATTTTTACAAAATTAAGTATAAAGCCATACATCCAGTTACTTTATTTGAGATTAATTCCATTTTCTTTTCTCTAAATGAAATACTGGACTCTGAATACATTCCAGACCATAAGAAACGGTATGAGGAAGAGTAGAAGTTAGTCAAAGTATTGTACTTTTAGAGTTGGAAGTTGAAAAGACATTTGTGCTTTGTTGGCATTTTTGTTCCGTATTATGTACACATACACAGCCAGCATAGACAAATAAGGCATAATTTAGCTAGGGAGACGATATGAATACACAGCTAAATGTCATACAAAGCTATTCAGATCTTTACTGTGAAGTATTTTGTCATAAATTCAGCTTTATCTTAAAGTGATGCAGAAAGGTTTGAAATGGAAAAGTTGTGCTTTGCTGAATGGCATTTATTGTCTTGACGGTGAAGGTAGGTGATCATTTTGATCTCTTGATTGCATTGATTTATCAGCTGGGACATTGTTTTAAAATTCAGCATGTTATTGTCGTCAGTTTCTAAAATTAAACTGAATGTGGTGCATACAAGTTATTAAATACTAGCAAAGATGCATGTACCACAAACATTTTCTGTCATCAGTAAGGTTGTCTTTTGGTTTTACATCAATAAGTTTTTGGGTTATCCCCACAACGGAAAGAGTTAAACTGTTAAGTACAGAACTAGGTTTACTTTCCTGGTGCAGTAATTATTTAGGCCATTAAATGATGGTTGATGGTTTAAGAAGTGTACAGTGGTAATACAGCACAAAGTATTAAAAGTACCGCAAATATTGGTAACCTTTAAAAAAGAACAACTCTGGTTTGACAAAGATCTCCTGGCTTTAGCCCAGCAGTTATAGTCATAGATGTTCGATATCAGTGGAGGTCTGTCCATCTATAATCTCTGGATTTTGCCCAGAGTGGCAAAGACCCTTTTTAATGTTTGTACAGCTGTGTACTTAACATTGATAACTGTCCAACTAGTCTCAGAGCGAAACAAACGCCAGCAAAGGTCTGCAGACCAGTCTAGTAGATCTTTTTGAAACCAGCCCAAGAATTTATGTGCAGTCGTATTAGTCCAGTGCACGACATAGTTTGGCATCACTAGTGCAGACGGTTCTTAAGGCTTTGTGACTTACAAAAGTATTCTGTTAAAATTTCTAGGCAAACCAATCAGCAGCGAGCCCAAGAACGTTTGGATTTGTGGTCATTCGCTGGTGTACTGGGCGGAGTCACGGGCCAAGTCTCCGGAGGTAGGTATGCAGCTGGGCATGGACCCCAGCAAAGTCACCATCTGGTGGAAAGGCATCCAGGGCATGACGTGGCCTCAGCTCCTGCCCCAGCTCCACCAGCTAAAGGTTACCTGGCCTAACCCGGACATCCTCATTATGCACCTGGGCGGTAACGACCTGAGCACCGACAGCCCCACCGAGCTGCTGGCCTCAGTCAAGAAGGACCTGACCTCTATGCGGAGCATCTTCCCGCAGTGCATTCTTGTGTGGTCCAACATCCTCCCTCGGAGGGTGTGGCGCCACTCCGCTGACAGCCACGAAGTTGATCTGGTCCGAACCACGGTAAATCGCAGGATCCAAAACATCATCTCAGAGCTGGGCGGCACCTCGCTGACACACGACAACATCAGGTGCGGCGCAAACACGGGTCTGTATCGGGCCGACGGCGTCCATCTATCCCCCAAAGGCATCGATGTTTTCAATCTGAACCTGCAGGATTTTCTGGAGAAGTGGGAGATGGAGGTGAACTAAGCCCTCGGAGAAAAGTTAAGAGGTGGATCAGTTATTTTCTGTTGTTTTTATGTTCTTTTATTTCTAATGATAGCTAGGCAGACGCATTGATTCAAGTAACTGCAGCGACTTCATTTAAGCTCATAAGTCCATCTAGAAAGTGTCCGCTCTTGTTAGCAGTTTTAGCTTACCATGTAGGAACAGCTGTTGTACATAATGAACATGTTGGTCCGTCTTGAAACAATAAATACGATATGAACTAATCTGCTGTTTCTCCGTCTTTCTATCTTAATAAACCCGATGTCAGAACCTACAGTTATGAACATAATTTCTAAGAAAAGTGCCCGTTAAGTAAATGTTAATGTGTGTGGAGACATTTTTGAAGATATACACCCATTTTTAGGTAAATGATAAACATTTTTATCAGTTTATAAACTTGCATTGTATTTGTTTTTGGTTGAAAATAAATGGTTAAGTAGATTTTTTTCTGCTGCTTCTTTTTAGTGCTTTTATTTATTTTTTTAATTGTGAGTCATATTATAAAATGTAGTATATTATCAGAATTAACATAAAGACCAAAAAAGGACGAGACCCCCGTCCTCCACAACATTTCCCGTATATCTCAGACGAGTCAGCAGTTGTAATTTTCAAAATTCCGCTTCTTTATATGATTCAGTTATATATTAGTACCACTGTTAACAGTTGATCCATTGACCAAATGATATGACTGAAATGCTTTCATTCATTCAACATTCATTAATAAAAATAAGCATCAGTCATGAGTTGCTGGAAAGAGATGGTGAAAACATGTAAACGTGTCCTGCTTCTTCGTTGGTGGGGTACCTTGTTTTTTCAGTTACAGGTGACACTAAACATTGAGAGATAACATCAAAAGTTATGCAGTTAATTATCCTGTGCTGGAACATGTTTACAGCAGATGAATGGACTCCCTTCACTTCTGTTGTAGACCACATGATTAACCCCTGACAGGGTTTATTTTGTATTTATTTAAAGTTCTTTTGCAGCATGTCTCATCGTCCCACAATTTAACTTTTATGTAGTCTGGTATTTCTTATTAGATGGTACAGAATAGAGCTGAGGGAGCATGCAACAAAGATCTGGAACTGTGGATGTTGAATTCAGTGGTTGGTGTCTTAAAGCCATCAGGAAGTAGAAAACGATATATAATTGAACCAACATTATCGAGCTGATTACTATTCATAATTATCACCCAGCACTTCCTGCAGTCTCTTTATTCTCCACTGAAGTTTCCAAGCTGTGTTGTACCTATTGGAGCCGACCAGGTGAGTTTTTGTTTTCTCTGCAGGTTCCAGCCTAGAGGGATCTCAGGAGGACTCCAGGACTCAGCAGGTGAACTGAACGGGAACCTCTGACTCGTCTGCTCGTTCGGCGCTGCAGCAGAATCTTGTACTCTTCTACGAATATGTAGAGAAATTAAAAAATCTTAGTCCTTCTGTTTTGTCTTCCCATCCACACCACCACCACCACAGAAAACGGCATTTAATCAAAAGAGCCTCAGACTCTTCAGGGCACCAACGTCTCATAAAACAATTGTAATATATCTTCTTTTCGGACTGTATGCATAATTTAGCTTCAGAAGGTTGTTAAATGTGGGGTGGTAATGGCGCAATGGACAAGACTGTCTTTGGTGTGAGAGACCCAGGTTAACAATTACCCATTCTGCATAAATTGGTAGTCCAGCTGTGGGCACAGTGAATGTGAAGTTGATGTTATCGGAGTTGACTTACAGCTAACGTTTTATTTACTCCACCATAGTTGGAAGATCCTGCTCGATCCCGCTGCCTTTCTGTTGTTCTGTGAGTTACACAGGGATTTTGTGTTAAAAATGTTGCCAAGGAAAGTCGATGCTGTTGCAGCAAGAACTGCCACAGCAGGTCAGTCAATCGTTCAGGGAGAAAACCAGGCCGTAATTTATTTTTCTCACCTTGGAAAACACAAAGGTCACGTATACATAAATAACTTTAAAATCACACCTCAGCTCATAACGTAAAAAAGTAACAGCCCTTGTAAAGTCAGTTTTAATTGCACATTTACTTTAAACAAGAGAGACGTCCACCCAGCCGCTGCAATACTGTTCATGAGTGTCTAGTGATTTATAATGTTAAAACTCATGCAAAGTGAACGCACTAAGTCCCAACAAGGTCTTTTACAATGTCCGGTTCTGTAATCCAGTCTTGGGCTGCTGAGTCATATAGCTCTATGTTGATTATTGTTATTAGTTTGACTAAGTACCAGTTTTGTTTCTCTTGGTAGGGTCCCTTCTCGTTTCCTTTTCCCATCTTCAGATTTTACTAAGTAAAAACCATTTTAGCCTAAAAACAGCCAAAAGTAAACCACCATCTCAACCGGCAAGCTCACAGGTAAACAGAGCGTGTACCTTCAAACATGGCATCCCGTCCCAACATACACCACGGCGTGATGAACCTTCACATTCCCATTCCATTTATAATAATATAATGATAATCTTTATTTATAGAGCAATTGTGCAAATACACCATAAATGCAAGAGAAAACGTAAGAAACTAAAATAGAAGTTAAAAGTAAAGAGTTTAGTTTTCAGTCGAAACTCTGGAACAGACCTCTGCCCGAGAATCTCAACGTATGTGCTGCTGCGTATGAGACTAAAAGGTCAGCGATATAACAGGGAGGAGAGGCCATGAAGAGATTTAAAAGTAATCAATACAATTTTAATTTTTATTGTCCTCCAAGAGGATTTTATTTTTGTACATAAAATGTACAAATCACAATAGTTTCACTGTGACACAGTGGATGAAGCAGCGCTGCGTTTTGTGTTGCATTGCAGATTCATTTAAATCTGTGGATGTTTGGATATTTTTTTATAGATGGGAACTTGTAGCCCTTGCATGTATGTACATTTTGCTTTGTAGTTTTATATGGATGAATGCTTTGTTTTTAATGTACCTTCTGTGACTTGTGTTATTCTTTGCCTGTCTATAAAGAGAAATATGTTCTGACGCCTTTCTATCAGAACCAGCATCAACTGTTTCAGCAAGGCAGGTTTATTTGTAGAGCACATTTCAACATCCTCATGCTGCTAATTTTTTCTGCTTCTAACATGAACTCTGAGAAAACGAGGTTCACCTGCTGCCTGATAGATCCCACCCACTGACCGGTGCCATGTCTGTATACTTCTACTGTACTACATTGGAGGGTAATGTTCTTTTTACTTTACTACATTTGACCGCTTTAGTTAAATTGCCCAACAGTTTATAAACTAATATAACTAAAGTATCTGTACTAAATTAGCTCCACCTCGACCAGCAACAATTTCAACATGCTCTGACATTTATTATTAAGTGGCCATTCTGCATAACAAGTACTTTTACTAACTTTGTTATATAATAATACTTCAGTACTTTTACTTCAGTGAATATTCAAGATGCTGCTACTTTTGTTTATGTAGAAGATCTGAAAACTTCTTCCACTTCTGAAAAATAAAATTGAGTTGCTTGTTTCAGAATTATTCAAGTTTGTTTTTGTATATGAATATAATATAATATTGGCATTAAATAATTTCAGACAATTTCACAAAGCACTGGTATCCTGTAGTTTGTGTTAAATTGTATTGGGACGGTTACTGAAACTGACTGGATATGGCACAGCTCCACCTAAAATATGTTTCACCAGCCGCCACTGGGTATGCCACACCTGTGAGGTGGATGGATTATCTCGGCAAAGGAGAAGTGCTCACTAACACAGATTTAGACAGATTTGTGAACAATATTTAAGAGAAATAGGGCTTTTGTGTACATAGAGAAAGTCTTAGATCTTTGAGTTCAGCTCATGATGAATGGGGGCAAAAACAAAAGTGTTAAGTTTATAATTTTGTTGAGTGTATAATGAAGAAATTGATTACACAAATTTCAGTTTCCGAGAGATGTTTTAACTCCTTGAAAGTCTGAGAGAAACAGCACATTTGAAAATTTCCAATCGTATGACATGGTGTGCAAACTATACCATAGCTTAGCAGCACAACCCGTACCAGAGAGGGACTGGGGCGGTGGAGCGTACAGAGCAGGGAGATTGCGGAGCAACCGGCCCTCTGCGGACGGTCGCTGATCGTTCCCTCTGGCTGGATGAAGTCTGACGCTCCGCCTGTTCCATGACGATAGAGAAATATAGAGATTTATGGCAATAAAGCATGCTGTCATTATATTCCCCCAAAATGTTCCAAATCATGCTTTTAGGGGAGCTGATGTCTTATTAAGAGGAGATAAGCTCCCCTTGGCTCCCCCATAGTTCGCACTCTGGCATAACATCTGCTGAGGAAGATCATGATATTATTGAAAGCTCCAGAGCAGCTACTAAATGTGTTTAACTGTGAATATGTTGTGTTGATCCTGTAGTGGGTGGTTCTCCACCAGAAATTTTTGAGAAATAAAGACTTCATTTCCTGCATTCTGGAGAAATGTTCTGCATCAGTTTATGGTAGAAATGTTTTTATTTATATAAAATGAAACAGAAAATTCAGGCGGCAGGTGACAATTCAAAATATAACAGAATATAATGCAGAATAAAGTTGCAATAAAACAAGAATATTGACTTTGCGTCTGACAGTGGAGCTGATCTCAGAGCAGTTCAGACTGCAGCACTGTTGGGATTCCTCTGTCAGTCACTGCTGGATGAAGCTCTCCTCTCCACTCTACCTCCCAGTAACATGGCCCAGTCAGAGCCTCTCCACACACAAGCTGATGCTGCTGCTTCAACCTCTCTGGATCATCAGGACACAGCTGATCCTCTCTCAACACCTCCACCTTTCTCATCCCTCACACTCTGACAGAGATCACTTCAGTCTGATGAGAGAAGAAGACAGAGAGCGGAAGTCATAAATCAGAGTTTACAGAGACTCCCTTCATCAGCTGTCAGTCAGTAATGCAGCACATCCAGTATAAAGACCAGCAGGGACTTCAGTCCTGTTCAGAGCAGAAGCAGAGCGGCTGTGTAGCGCAGCCAGCTTCCTTTCAGCTCTCATGTTAACGTATTGGAGTGAACACACTGAGACCTGCAGAGACTTTGGCCATCAGCTCCGTTTACTCTGCAGGTTTCACTCAAGTCCACAGTGGAAATAAAGTGCTGAGAGTCCCTGAACGCATCATGACTGCAGAGACAGAGAGATATTCACTGCTCACTGGAATGATGGATTTACTGCTGTTAGGGCTCAAAGCTGTTAAAAACCAGCCGCTCAGTCACATTTGAAGATTTCAGCTACTTTGGAAATATTACAGGACAAATCTGTAAATATGGAGTCTGTTCTAAAAACATCTGGACCATATATATGATGTTAAAGGTCCTACAACAGCTAAACATCAGCTGTGCTTACTGGACTTCAGCAGAGGTTCTGCTCTGTAGAAAGACCACATGGTTACTAAATGTAATGATGGTTCTCTGAAATAAGAGCCAGTGATTTGCAGGCTTCAGTCACACTGATCTCAGAGCTGTGACAAAGATGAACTGATCAGTAGTTTAGTGTTGAAATGAGAGAACAAACACTTTGAGATCAGATTTACTGGTCCGACAGTTTGATGAATGAGGACCACTGTCTCTATACATCTTGTGATGCTGTCAGCTGGAATCCAGCTTTATTTCCTGGAGACATGAACACAACAACAACAGTCGTCTTCACATCAACTCAAACACATGATCACTGCCTGTTCTCTCTCTCTCTGTCTGTCTTTCTGTCCAATCCTGAAGCCTGTCACCATTCTCCTCTCACAGCTTCACTGAGGAAAGCAGCCGCTGAGAAGGTTGGAGGTTTACAGGAAATACTGGATCTCTGCTTTGATACTGTGTTTAGTACAATACTGCTGAAACCAGCATGGACTGACTCCAACCCTCTACTGACCTCAGAGTCTCCAGTCTGTAGTGTGGACTCTTCTTCAGATCAGACAGCAGCTTCACTCCTGAACACAGCTGCTTGTTGTTCCTCAGGTCCAGCTCTCTCAGATGGGAGGGGTTGGACTTCAGAGCTGAGACCAGAGAAGCACAGCTGATCTCTGACAAACTGCAGCCCCTCAATCTGAATAAAGAATAAATGATGGAGATAAAAATCCATTTCAAATCCAATCAGATGTGTTCAGGTTTTAAATGTGGAGCTCAACATTACTATGTCCTGATCAAAATATTAAGTTCAGGGTTCCATCATTTGTGTCCAGGCCAGTTTCATTCGTTGTTTTTTTTTAAATTATTCTGTTGAACGACAAGTCATAAGCAATGTCTGAATTTCATCAGTTTAATTTCAGTACATTTTTATCAGTTTCAGGTTGTTTCAAGGACCATTGTGGGTTTTTCTTTCTTTAACAGAACGTACCAACAGTTTTGCTGCTGCTGTATTTTAACCTCATCATCTTTTCAAGTACAAATCACCAAACACATCACTGCTGGGTCAGATTGGAAGCTTACAGTCGTGTCTCTGTGTCTATATGTCTATGAAGATTCTCAGTCATCCAGGTCATAGTTTATCCAACGAAGGTTAAAATCAAGGGCAACTGGACTTGGTTGAAGATACTGGAAGACGTTTCGTCCCTCATCCAAAGGACTTCTTCAGTTCTGACTGACTGGCAGGGAAACTCAGCTATTTAACCTCAGTGGGGTCGTTGGCCCGGGTCATCGATACCGCTGGTTCGTTAGTGTTCCTTGTTGCTGTGACGACAGTCGTTACAGTCGTTGAGACTACCTGTGGCCAAGACTGAACGACCATCGTTGGTATCTTCACCTGAGGCCAAGACTGAACGACCATCGTTGGTATCTTCACCTGAGGCCAATAGGTTACGTTTGTTGAGTTTCCTGGGAAGTGATGAAAGGACAGCATTGTAAGTGGGGGATAAGTGGTGGCGTAGACCCCCTCCCCTGTTCAATGACGGCTTCTCAACCCTGGTGTAGATGCTTCCTTGACACCTCTTTCAAACCATCCATCTTCTCTGTCTAAAATGTGCACCTGGTGGTCCTCAAACGAGTGTCCTCTGTCCTTCAGATGTAAGTAGACTGCAGAGTCTTGACCTGAGGAGTTGGCCCTTCTGTGTTGAGCCATGCGTTTGTGTAGTGGTTGTTTAGTCTCCCCAATATACAGGTCTGTGCATTCCTCACTGCATTGGACCGCATACACTAGATTGCTTTTCTTGTGTTTGGGTGTGCGGTCTTTGGGGTGGACCAGCATCTGTCTTAGTGTGTTCTTGGGTTTAAAAAACACAGGGATGTTGTGTTTGTTGAAAATCCTCCTGAGTTTCTCTGATACTCCAGACACGTATGGAATCACAATGTTGTTGCGTTTGACCTTCTTTTCCTCCCCTGTAGTTTTGTTCTTCTTGGATTTTGTGGCTGTCTTCACAAAAGTCCATTTAGGGTATCCACAGGCTGTAAGTGCCCCCTTCAGGTGGTTCTGTTCCTTCTCTCTGGCTTGGGCGCTTGTTGGTATGTTTTCCGCTCTGTGGTGCAGTGTTCTCATGACCCCTAGCTTGTGCTCCAGTGGGTGGTGGGAATCGAACAGTAGGTATTGGTCTGTGTGTGGGTTTTCTGTAAACACCAATCTGCAGGCTCCTGTCCTCTTCAATGTGTACAGCGCAGTCCAGGAAGGCCAAACTGTTGTTGTGAACATCTTCTCGTCTGAACCTGATGTTACTGTCCACAGAGTTGATGTGTTCTGTGAAGGCTTGCACTTCCTGGCTTTTAATTTTGACCCAGGTGTCGTCCACATATCTGTACCAGTGGCTCGGTGCTGTTCCTCTGAAGGAGTTGAGGGCTTTATTCTCCACTTCTTCCATGTAGATGTTTGCCACAATCAGGGATACCGGTGAGCCCATGGCACAGCCATGCTTCTGTCTGTAGAATCCACCGTTGTACTGGAAATAGGTGGTGTTTAGACAGAGGTCGAGTAATTTGCAGATCTGGTCAGGGCTGAGTCTAGTTCTGTTGTCCAGGATGTTGTCTTGTGTTAGCCGTTTCCTAACGGTTTCTACTGCCTCTATGGTGGGGATGCAGGTGAACAAAGAAGTCACGTCATAGGATACCATGGTTTCATCTGGATCCAGTTTTAGTCCTTGAACTTTGTTTACAAAGTCAATAGAGTTTTGGATGTGGTGAGGCGTGTTTCCCACCAATGGAGCTAAGATGGTGGAAATGTGTTTGGCAATGTTGTAAGTGACCGAGTTAATGCTGCTGATTATCGGCCTGAGTGGGGCTCCTTCTTTGTGTATCTTGGGTAGTCCATAAATGCATGGAATGGCTTCTCCATGTCTATATGTTTTATCAATCTTTATACTTTTTCCTCTTCACTTGCGGGCCCCTGTGTTTTGTCCCCGTCGGATTAAAGATGAACAAATATATTTCAAATGTAATGTAGGCTACAGCCGAATCCACAGATTCCACCACTTGATCCTCCCTCAGAATATGGAAGTTTAGTAAATGATGAGTAATGTTATTGTGTTCACTTCTGGAAACTTTTCACCGCTCCGACTCAGGCTGTTCTCTTTTGAAGATAAATGTGCAGATTTTGCAAATACATGCATTAATATTTCTTGATCTGACAGCTGATTCAGAACGCTGCTGCTCGAGTCCTCACTAAGACCAACAAAGTGGATCACATCAGTCCAGTTCTGAGGTCTTTACACTGACTTCCAGAGAGCTGATTTTAAAATCCTGCTGTTGGTTTATAAAACACTGAACAGATTAGGGCCAAAATACACTGCTGATCTTCTGCTACGTAAAGAACCATCCAGACCTCTCAAGTCGTCTGGGATCAGGTCTGCTGAAACTCTCAGTTCTTTTAAATCCAGGCTGAAGACTTTCTGCTGCTGCCTTTTATTCAGTCTAATTTAAGAAGTTTGATTAATATCTTTCTCTGCACTGTAACTTTAACTGTTTTATCTCCTGTGAATTTTTTATTTAACTGTTTTTAATTTATTTCATTCTTGTTTTCTATTTCCCTGCGTTGCACTTTGAATCGCCTTGTTGTTGAAATGTGCTGTACAAAGAAACGTGTCTTGCCCTACAGCCACAGGACTAAAATGGAGGCCCCGCCTTTTATTGACCTGTTGCCATGGTGAATCATAGAATCAAAGCTCCTTTGATAATGACATGTTTCATTCACCACACACCAGCTGAACTCAGAGAGAACTGACTCAGTTAACTGAACTGACTCTGACTTCATTAATATGGATGTCAGGACCACAGAGCAGAAGTGGTTGAGTTCTGGGGCCGGGGTTTTTTGGGCACAGGGATTATGGTAGTAGTTTTCCAGAGGGTAGCTACTGTGGCAGTCTGGTAGGATTCACAGAAGAGTGGGTGGAAAAGTGATGAGAGTTCCAGGGTGCAGGTCTTTAGCTCACCTGCCTGGATGTTGTCAGGCCCAGGAGCCCTGCTTAGTTGGCTTGGATCTGAGAAGGAGGGAACACTATTGTGGAATATGAGGCTCGTTCTAAGAATTAGAGACTTCTCCTTTGTTTCTGATGCTCTTTTTAGGTGGACAGTAGTCCACTTTTCCACTGGTGTAAAGAGGGGCCCTTTTTTCCCTTCCTGCTGATTCATGTTACAGTTAAAAACGCTCTAGTTCTACTCTGTTATGTGTCCGCTTCATAGTTGGCTTGTTTTGTGTGATGAAGATTTATCCTTTATTACTTTTGCATGTTCCCTGAAGTTTTTATTAGTTGCTGTCTTTAATTTGATCTGGTTGTATTTAGTTGTTGTGTTTTTGATAAGAATCCAAGCCCTATTGTAGCTGAGCACTTAGCCAGGGTGTTCTGGATCCTAAATCTAGTTGCACTTTTTTCTGACTGCCGTGAATGCTCCATTATCCAGGGCTGCTGGTATCTCACCACAGGGCAGCTGAAAAGGAGGACTGTGGCCACAGAGGAACTCATCACTCACTCATCATCAGCCACTTATCCTGTGTACCAACCAGCCAACATCGGGCAAAAGGCGGGGTCCACCCTGGACAGGTCAGCAGCCCATCGCAGGGCCACACATATGCAAACAACCACTCTCATACTCACACCTAAGGACAATTTAGAATCATTAGTTAACCTAGCCTGCATGTGATTGGATGATGGGAGGAAGATGGAGCGCCCAGAGAGAATCCACACAGACACCGTACACAGTGTGGACGAAACCACAGAAGAAGAAAATAGACTTTAGCATTAAGATCCTCAGTGTGTTTATGTCTGCACTTTAGTGTCACCACACCTTTCTCATCATATTAATCTCAGCACAGAAGGAAAAAATGGTGTCTGACCTCAGAATCTCCAGTCTGCAGTGTGGACTCTCCAGAAAACCACACAGCAGCTTCACTCCTGAATCCTGCAGCTCATTGTTATTCAGGTGCAGCTCTCTCAGATGGGAGGGGTTGGACTTCAGAGCTGATGCCAGAGAAGCACAGCTGATCTCTGACAAACTGCAGGTCCTCAGTCTGAATAAAGAATAAATGATGGAGATAAAAATCCATTTCTAATCCAATCAGATGTGTTCAGGTTTTAAATGTGGAGCTCAACATTACTATGTCCTAATCAATGAGCTTTTCCCTAAAATGAGTAGAGGGACTTTGTCATTGTGTTATTGTGGATCATCATAATGTCAGCCTTCTACAGACATCATCCAAATGTCAGCACAACATTCATACACCTATTCATGTCAACACAGATCAATAACAGTGGGCCAATAATATGCACTGATCTCAGGCCAGCGTGTGTTTGTGTGTGTGTGTTCTGAAAGATCAATATCAGTGATCAGACAGTATTTATGAAAACACATTGAAACCAACAGAAACAAAGAGACATTTATACTTCAACAAGTAAACTTGATCAGTTTCAAACAAATATTAGTTCAGAGGATCTTCTGTATACAGATGTGACCATTTACCAAAAATTTGAAACATTAATTTAATGACTAACAGTGGACATTTTCTACATTTTCTTTAAGAAACACAAGTCTTTGTGACTGCAGACTAAATTTAGTACAAGAAACATGAAAATATGAACAAAAGGACATTTACAACTTTATGGATGTCTGTGAAGGTTCTCAGTCGTCCAGGTCATAGTTATCC